TGAAAAAATTTCAGTTACTGAAAAAATAACTGTATTACAATAAGTATATAAACAGCATTAACCATATATGTACACATACTTAATGGTATAAAAATAATATGATAGTGTTCTTTTGTTAGTAAGATTAGCCAAGAGATTTCTTAAGTGGAAACTTTGTCAGTATTTTTCAAAATGGCCTTATGGAGAAAAAAACTATATTTATTATTTTCTAAAAGAGAGTGTTTATTTCATTAAAAAAAAAAAAAGCTTTATACATACCATACAATTCACCCACTTTAAGCATACCATTTAGTGGCTTTTAGCATATACGCAGATTTCTGCAACCACCACCACAGTCACTTTTAGAACATTGCCATTATCTCAAAATAGATTTTCTTTTAGTAAGAGTCTGCTGGTGACAGAATCCCTGGCTTTGTTTGTCCAAAAACATAAGATATTTTTCCCTGTGTATGCTGTTGTAAGTTGACAATTTTCTTTCATTCCAGTTAACACTGATTGTAGTTGAGACATCTGCTGCTGTGTTGCTCCTTGAAAGGTAATGTGTCTTTTCTCTCTCATTTTAAGATATTTTCTTGGTCTTTGGGTTCAGCAATTTTATTACAATGTGGCTAGGTTTGTGATAATTTTAAAATAAGTCTACAAATTCTTATCCCTTTCTTCATGAAATAGAACCTAATTATTCTCCCTCTGAGTGTGCGTTAGACATAGTAACTTCGTTCTAACCACAGACTTTGGCAGAATATTACTTCCAAAACCAGGCCAAGGCTCTCTCTTGCTTTCTCCCTTGTATTACCACTCTGGGAAAGTCAGCTGTCAGGTCATGAGCACACTTAAGCAAGCCCTGTGAAGGGGTCCATGTGGCAAGACACAGAGGCCTCCAATAAACAGCCATGTGTGTGAGCCATCTTGGAAGCAGATCTTCCACTCCCAGTCCAGCCTTCAGATGGCTACAAACTCACTAGTGACCCTAAGCTAGACCTACTAAGCTAAGCCACTAATGATTCCAAACCCACAGCAACTGTGAGATATTAATAAGTATTTGCTATTTTAAGCCTCTGAGTACTGGGTAATTTGTATATAGAAATTGATTAATACAAAAGATGTAAAAAATGTTTAAATAAATTTGCCTATTGAGCTAAAATAAACATACACAGAGTGCATCAAATATATGTGATAAGTTTGATATATGTCCTCTCCAAATCTCATGTGGATATGTAATCCCCAATGTTGGCGGTCAGGCCTAGTGGAGGTGTTTGGTTCATGGGGATAGATCCCTCATGAATGTCTTGGTACCATCCCCTTGGTCATAAGTGATAACCTCACTCTTTTAGTTCATGTGAGAGCTGGTTGTTTAAAAGAGCCTGGTACCTCCTTCTCATTCTCTCTGGCTCCCTCTTTCTCCATGTAATATACCTATTTCACCCTTATGGGAAACCATTTAATAAAATTTACTCATGGTAGAAACCATGAGTAAAAGCTTCCTGAGACCTAACCAGAAGCCAAACATATGCTGGTGTTGTGCTTCTACAGCCCGAAGAAACTTAAGCCAAATAAAAGTCTTTTCTTTATAAATTAACCCACTCTTAACTATTATTTTACAGCAACACAAAATGGACTTATACAATATGTATACAGTTCAATAAATATTCATAAAGTAAAAATAATTAGTCACCTTCTTGAATTTGTGGATTGATTTTCAAAAGTTCTGGAAGGTTCTCAGATATTGCCTTTTAATATTGTCTCTGCCCCATTTTTACACTCTCTTTTTCTTTTCTCCTAGAGCTGCAATCACAGGCTATGTTGAATCTTCTCATCCTGTCCTCCGTATCCCTCAGCCTTTTGCTTTATATTATTGATCTGTTTATCACACTAGGCTACATATTGGAAAACTTCTTCAGATCTAGGCTCCTATTCACTAATTGTCTCTTCAGCTTTGTCCAATTCACATATAAAAGGTTTTTCATTGCAATAGTTTAGTAGTAACTCCTTACCCATGAGGGTTATATTCCAAGAACCCCAATGGATGTCAGAAACTGTGAATAGTACTGATCTCTGCATTACAATGTTTTCTCCTATATGTACACAACTTTGGTAAAGTTTAATTTATAAACTCAGCAAAGTAGTAGATTAACAACTATGCCCACTGATAAAATGAAATAATTATTTACATATACCATAATATAAGTTTTTTGAATGTGAGGTCTCTCTCTCTCTTTCTCTCCCTCTCTCTCTCTCTCAATATCTTATTATGTGTAATATTTTCAGGCTGCAGTTGAATGCAGGTACCTGAAACCACAGAAAGTGAAGCTGTGGAAAAGGAGAGATGCTGCATTTTACGTTTCCAGAACATCAGTTGGTTCTTTTACAAATCTGCTTCCATTTCCACATCTTAGTTCTTAAAGTTCTTAAATCATTTTAAAATATCTAAATTCAATGCCTGGTAATTCTGATATCTGAGGTCTTTGCAAATCTGATTCTACCATGTTATTTTTATATCCTTTGCTCTTTATGTTTTATTTCTTCCTGTCTAAAATGTTTCTCTGTATGTTTTTTATTTTTATTTTTTAATTTTATAATTTGAAGCTCTTGGCTCATAATTTATTCCCCTCTTCTTTTGTTGCTCATTTCCCACAGTCTCATCCTCCTAGATAGGGTCAGGATCCTAGTTGCACTGATGGAAGGGGTAGGTGCCATGTTCATTGAATTCATTGGTGGTAGGGAAGCACGGCATAGACTGGCACAGGTCATGTTTGGAAATAACCTTCCAGGGTTCATGAATCCTGGGTCACTGAGTAGGTCCTAAGCTGCTCTGTTTTCTTAAAACTCTGTCAGTGAGAATTATTTGAAAACTGAGATGAATAAGTTTGTCCAAGTAGTCCTTACGTTGCCACAGACAAGCATTCTGCCTCCCGCAGCAGTTTCAGGAGACGCAAAGAGCCTTTTCATCCTTTATTCCTAGGAAAGGAAGCCCAGCTCCAGTCCTGCCAACTGTGCAGAGGGAGCCTGGCTCTAGTCCTGTCAACTCTCGGCATGTTTGTATCCTGACCATTAGGGGAGCCAGAGTCCTGGCCTTGTCTCACTGCTCAATGCTCAATGAAGCTCTGACTGGTGCAGTAGGGAAAGGGGCTCCCTCGGGCTGGGCAGAGTGAGGAAAAGCAGTGCCAGGGCCCTCAAATCTGAAGTGGCCTCAAATTGGGGCTTGCCAGGGCCCAGTGTTTTTTCTTTTTCTTATATTGTGAAGGAGTCCACACAGAACCAGGATGGGAGCCTCTTCAGCTGTCTCTCAGACTACTGCAAAGCCCAGACCTAGGGAAAGTCTTAAAAGAACTCTCATATCCTGTCTCTGGCACCCATGGGTTTTGCAATGACCACCACTGACCATGGACTGGACCAGGACTTGGACCCAGGTCAGCCCTGTGCCTTCCCCACCCCTCCAGCTTCAACATGCCCAATCCTAAACAGGGATTATTTGTATTAGGCACCACCTCTGAATCCACCCTGTCTTAGAGCCCAAACCCACAGTACTGCTTGACCTAGGAAATATTTCACAAATTTCTGCCACACAGGGGACTTTACTTGCCTTTATTTCTAGAGATTAAAAAAAAAGTTCAAATACATACATACGGCAGACACAGGCACACACAGAGAGTTGTTGCTGGCTCTTCCCCTTCCCTCTCACCAAGAATGGTAAAGACCACACAGGAGAAAAGAAGCTGACCTCACCCGTGGAAGCTTCAGACATTAGGGAGCAAGGAGTCACTGCTCAGAAACCAAACTGGAGATGATGGCGAGCCAGCCACATCTCTCTTCAGTCCCAATCAGCTTTCCAGAGGGCGAGGTTGGCCAAATCCACCTCCTCAATGACAGGCTGTGCCTTGGCAGCCTACAGCTTCTCCTTCACCTTCTCCTCCACAACAACTGATTTGGCCTGGAAACCCTCCTCCTTTTCAGGTCCTCATCGTCTGGGACATGGTTCTGCGGCCTGAATTCCCTGAGCATCTTGCTTTCCTCCTCCTCTTCACTGAGCTACTTGGTCTTCGGCTCCACATTTTCCTTGTCCCTGTGCCTGGTTTTATCATTGGGCCTTCAGCTATTCTTTTGCCAAAGAGCATCTTCCTAGCCAGTCTGGGTCCACAGCCACCTTTCAGCCACCTTCCCCCCACCTTCCTTCCATTACCTTCCTTCCGCCATCACTGTCTTGCCCACAGATCCCTTGTTTTCTCTCATCTTGCATTACTCATTCCCAAGGAGACAATCAAAGAGAGTAGACAAACAAAGGCCTATTATTATTTTATTATTATTATTATACTTTAAGTTCTGCAGTACATCTGCAGAATGTGCTGGTTTGTTACATAGACATACACGTACCATGGTGGTTTGCTGCATCCATCCCCCTGTCATCTACATTAGGTATTTCTCCTAAAGTTAGCCCTCCCCAATCCCCCACCCACTGCTTTTCCTTCCCTAATTCCCCTTCCCCTGACAGGCCCCAGTGTGTGATGTTCTCCTCCCTGTGTCCATGTGTTCTTGTGTTCAACACTCACTTTTGAGTGAGAACATGCAGTGTCTGGTTTCCTGTTCTTGTGTCAGTTTCCTGACAATGATGGTTTCCACCTTTATCCATGTCTCTGCAAAGGACATGAACTCATCATTTTTGATCTCTGAATAGCATTCCATGGTATATACGTGCCACAATTTCTTTATTCAGTCTATCATTGATGGGCATTTGGGTTGGTTCCAGGTCTTTGCTATTGTGAACAGTGCCACAATAAACATGCATGTGCATGTGTCTTTATAGTTGAATGTTTTATAATCCTTTGGGTATATACCCAGTAATGGGATTGCTGGGTCAAATGCTATGTCTATTTCTAGATCCTTGAGGAATCGCCACACTGTCTTCGACAGTGGTTGAACTAACTTACATTCCCACCAGCAGTGTAAAAGTGTTCCTATTTCTTCACATCCTCTGCAGCATCTGTTGTTTCCTGATTTTTTTTTTTTTTAATATGGAAGGCTTCATGAATTTGCATGTCATCCTTGAGCAGGGGGCCATGCTAATCTTTTCTGTATCGTTACAATTTTAGTATATGTACTGCCAAAGTGAGCACCTCTCCTGATTTTTTAATGATTGCCATTCTAACTGGCATGAGGTGGTATCTCAATGTGGTTTTGATTTGCATTTCTCTAAAGACCAGTGATGCTGAGCTTTTCTTCATATCTTTGTTGGCTGCATAAATGTCTTCTTTTTAGAAGTGTCTGTTCATATCCTTTGCCCACTTTTTGATGGGGTTGTTTTCTTCTTGTAAATTTGTTTAAGTTCTTTGTGGGTTCTGGTTATCAGACCTTTGTCAGATGGGTAGATTGCGAAACTTTTCTTCCATTCTTTTGGTTGCCCATTCACTCTAATGATGTTTCTTTTGCTGTGCAGAAGCTCTTAAGTTTAATTAGATCCCATTTGTCTATTTTGGCTTTTGTTGCCATTGCTTTTGGTGTTTTAGTCATGAAGTCCTTGCCTGTGCCTATGTTTCTATGAAAATGTTAACATCAAACTATAATAATTAGATGTTAAATTTTGTTTATTGGTCACATCATCATAAAAGAATTTGAACAAATATTCAAGCTTTTTCTTGTAAAGCTGAGAAACTTAAATATTTCCAAGGTAATTATATACATTATTAGTATTTATTGACAAAATCTCTTTTTAGCATATATTGTACAACACAGACCTATGAACAGCCTTCTAAAGTGTTTTCAAATTTGGCTTTCACTAATAAAAATTTCTTATCATCACTGTTATTTTTCTTCCAAGGATCTTAGAAAGCTGCACATATTCATATGAGCCCTTTGTTACACTTTAGTTTCACGGTATTGGTCAAGTTTGTTTGTTGTCACATATAATCAAGGATACAGAGACTAGGCTATATGGTTAAGGTCAAATAGCAATATATAGTAGAGCTTAGAACAGGATAACTTCATAATTTTCAGAAATTATAACATCCATTTTGTCACTACAATTCTCATTTTTTCAGATGTGCACAATAAAGGTAAAATTTTGCATTTTAGAGTGTAAATTGTTATTTTCAAGAATATATATTAATATATATATTGTTAGATCTAAAATTTTATAGCAACTCATCTTTTGCTGTATACTAATGTTTTTGCAATCTTTGTTTCCTAGAATTATGTCACAGCTAATAAATTGACTTGAGGCAGAATTCATAGTATAAAACCATTTGCCCTGTCACAAATGACAATGAATTCCTTATACTCAATTCAGAAAGTAGATTAATGAAAGTAAAATCATTACAAGATTAACCATTAAGTTAAAGCATTAGAATAATCTCACCTACTTCTGGATTTTTGAAGATACAGGATTCAAGTCCACATGTGTAAGAGGACATTTTGCTTTTCAGGCCACAAATATGGAATAGTGCATAAGACAATTGCCTCACTGGGTTAGATCAGGATTTAGTTTTTCTAATAATATCTCTAACAGAATGTAGGGGAAAAAGTTGCCATTTAGAATGGTGATTCAGAAGATCAAAAGCAGAAATGATTATTTAAAACTCTCAGTCTGTTGGAATTTTGAGTCAGAAAAGGTCTTGTGAATATAAGTTCCATATGTTTACTACCTACTGTGAAAAATAAATGGTTACTCTACAGAGTTACAAAACCACTATTTTCAATTCCAGGAGGTCCCCTCTAATATCATGGGCTTAATAAAAAAAGACATTTACTCTATCCTTTCATTCATTTTTCATATTTCAGAGCTAAAATTGCATTTGGAGATAGTCAAATTAATTCCTCTTGTTTTTCAGAGAAAACTTAGTCCCATAAAAGGCAGCGACTTTGTCTAAGTATCAGAGAATAGTGATAGATTTGTCCTCTATTGAAATATTCTTATAACTCATAAGCCTGCTTTTCATGTTTCATTTTGCTTCTCAAGGATTTCCTTGATGTACAATTTGTTCAATAACAGATATGTGCTAAAAATGTATAGTTGCTTTTATATTTCTTTAGATGAGTTTATATTTTAGTCGGGAAGGAACAACAAAGAATAAACTGTAAAACTAACAAATACAAGGCCGGGTCCACTGGCTCACATCTGTAATCCCAGCATTTTGGGAGGTCGAGACAGGCAGATCACCTGAGGTCAGGAGTTCAAGACCAGCCTGACCAACATGGAGAAACCCCATCTCTACTAAAAATACATAGTTAGCCAGGTGTGGTGGCACATGCCTGTAATTCCCGCCACTCAGGAGGCTGTGGCAAGAGTATCGCTTGGACCTGGGAGGTGGAGGTTGTGGTGAACCGAGATTGTGCTGTTGCACTACAGCCTGGGCAACAAGAGTGAAACTCCATCTCAAAAAAAAAAAAAA